GTGTTTATTTCTGATATATATGTATATATATATATTCGTATATATAAAATTTTTATTTTTAATTTTTGGCCTTTTACTATGTTTTTTTTTGTATATATAATGCATATATATATATAATGTAAGCAATTTTCAAAACTAAAAAACTTATTAAACTTATTTTTTACATAATTCACGAATGTTCAATACATCCATCATTGCTGTGTCACAAATGTCATGGGCATATTGTTCACCTTGAGGAAAATTTTAAAGTGACATACCCTCTAAATAACTTTTGTATACTGAGATAGTATTTTGTTGAAAGAAGTAATTCTGACTGTTTTCATTAAACTATTGCATCAGCCAGCTTTTTTATATTGGCCATGTAAATTCTCTTAGTGATGCATAGATATCTGCCATACCAGCAGTAACCGCATTGAGCGTTTATGAAATACACAAAATCTTATAACTTACGATTATTCAAAAGCTTATCACTTACGAATGAATCAATTTACCTTTGTTTCACTGTAATAAAATTTGGTAACGGTTGCGTACTTTATTTATCATGGACTTTTTAAAATTAATTATGAAATAATTCTGTATAAAGGGTTGATATTCTTCTTTAAAATAATCTGACAACTCTCAGTGGCAAGAAGACCGTTATTAACGGTTTCACTGTTATTTGCAGAATCTGTACGGTAGTTATTTATACTATTCAGTAATTTTGCATTAAAATGAGAAAGAAACGAAATTATAATTCTAATGATAACAAAATTGTCGTAGGTGTCTATGGATGCGAAGCCATTCTATTAATAACATAAATTCAAAACGGAGGAAAAACTCTAAATCATTTGAATTATTCAGTCATTAGCACAATGCAGGATTTACGTATTAGGTACACAACCTATAGCTTAGGGCATCCACTTTCTTGGGGACCCCCCAAAATTAAAATATAATATAAATATAGTATTAAAATATAACAGACTTATGAAGGGTTCCATATCTCAAATAGGTTAGGGCCTTATCATGTCTAAATCTGGTTCTGGATTTAGAGCATTATTCTGCAGTCTTGAACTTACTTCACTAAACGACAGTTTTCGGAGTTCACGGGATTGGATACAATATAATTTTGCAAAAATTGCAATGTATATTTAAAGAAGAAAATTATTTATTAAGATAAAAAAACTTGAAAGCAGGTTTTATAATACGCGCAAACGGGAGTTTTTTCCTTTACAGACACATGCATGTTTCGAGAGCATTTCGGCTAACGCCGCATTGGGCTATATATATTTAAAAACAGTATATCTTTAGAATTTAGTGGAGATAAAAATGTTTTATTCCCTACAGTGTTACCAGTGCTCGCTTTGAAATTGTTGAGTTGTTTAATTGAAAACTCGTCAAAGTTTTACAAAATATGAAACAAACAGTAAAACAAATTCCAGATAGCAAATTCGGGCTTCCAGGTGCCCATGTTTGGGTAGAGGACTATGTTAATCAAAATTTGATAACTCTAGGTACCGTTGTTTTTTCACAATTTTAGAAACATATATATATTCATATCGATTCTTCATTATTTAGTTTCTTTAAATATAATGCAGGGCGGTAATATTTGGTGACAACAATTTGAAAAGTGATTCGACGCAAAATGGAGTTTCGAGACTAACAGCCCTTCTGGGATAAAAATAATTACTTCTAAAAATTAATTCCATACTAAAACTAAATTCTCTAAATTTAGTGACTAGCACTAAGACATCATACAAGTAAAGCAAGGAATGTGCATTATTTGCACAAATTAAAACTATAATTATTTCTTATTACATTATTCCTAATGTGACATAACTTTATGTGAATCATTTTCTGAAAAGCTTTGCTCTGTCTGAATAATATGAAATAATGCAGGCAAAATATATACTTAAATTGGAATTTTATTATCTGCAATATTGTGTCATTTTTAGTGATGACTGAAAAGAAATAGATGATTTTAAATATTTTAATACTCAAATGTACTAATTTTCATGCATTGTATGCCATACAATAGCTACGCACTTATTATATGCAGCAGACATAAGACAGAACATGTCTGATTGCATAAAAATATATTTTGAAACGGAGAATATATAGCAATATTTTTCATTTGATATTATATAGATATCTAAATTGATCTCTAAATGGAAAAGTTTGCTACTGTAAAGTAATTGTAATACATTGCTATAAAAATTTACAGTAATTTTTCTCATAAATATATATAGACTTTTATCGGCAGCAGTTTTGGGCCTAAATCGCGTAAACTGTTCAACTTCTAATTTTGTAGCTGTAATTACTGCCTTAAAATTGTACAAATACATCTTTCTGTATTTAGCTGAGCTCCAAAGAAAAAAATGCTTAGTTTTATTAAAGTTACATATTAATCAAAGTAACATAAACATTGACAATCATTTAACGGTTTTTATAATTTTCTCCATTTTACTGGATGTCGTTTTGTGGCTCTTATGGATTTGTCATGTCTGATGTTTATAGCCTTATTTTTATATTTTTCTTGGTAATACAGTAATTTTTGTGGCATATACTACTTGCATCTAGCTTATCTCAAGTTTTCGAAACCTTATTATTTTGTTATTCATGCTTATTATCTAATATTAATACAACTCTAATTATCCATATTTTAGACATACAGAAACATAATTATTAGAATAACTTAGTTTAATATATTTTTCAAAAATTAATTTTGTTTTTAATTTATTAGCAAATTTTTATTTTTTTTGATTGACTTAAGTAATGCAAAAAAGATAATGCCATACAGTACACGTTTAAAAATAGCATTATCCGAATATTACACTAATGGGTTTATGCTATTCACCATATATGTTGCCTCTAAACATTTATGAAAATAAATAGCTTATACTGTATAAAAGCCCTAATTTTTGTTTGCTGTTGTTAAGCGATAGCAAGAATTTCTCTCCAGGAACAGATTAAATAAATGCGGCGAAGCTAATTTCAAGTTCTCCAGACAACAAATCGTCTGAACAACGTTACTGCAGCCAGTTTTCTTATATTATAAAAAGAAAAAGAAAGATTATTTATTTACTATTAGAGCCTACGGCAGCTAAAATAAGCATAATAGTGTTTTTTTATTTGACACAGATCGTGCGTTTAGGTACATGAAAAATAATTTCGTTACTTAATTTTATAAGACAAAATGTATTTTGCATTTTATATCAGAAAATAAAGACATTTTTACTGCAAAACAGTTATTTAAATAAAATAAGATGAAATAAAAATAAATAATAAAGCTTTTACAGCTTTCTTTAATTTCTCTGAATTCTTGTTTTTCATGCTTTTGTCTCTAAATTCTTCTTAGGGTAATTTATCTTTTTCATTCTTTGGCTTCAGATAAGTATTCCTGAATTTTAGCGTTAAAATTTGTGAAGTTATATTCTATTACTTTTGGCTTTTTTCTTAGCAGAATTAGATTAATTTGTTCCAAAACTTCAAACTAAAAGTTGATCAAAGTCGAAACTCAAAAGAAATATATTTATTGGTGGTAAAATTTATCCTCAGCAGCAATCAGTCTTTTTAAAAAAGATTTCCAAATCAAATTTCATATTCATGTAACATTAATAAAAATTTTCAAGATTCATTAAAGGCTTAGGAAACATAAATGATAAATATCACATAAATGATGAAAATGCTTTAAGCACAACTTAAAGCATTTATACATATAATGCGGATTTCTTGATAAATATTTCAGTAGGTTTTTACCTATGAAATTAACATCGCCTGTTTTGTTCTTTTTATATACTGTATGATCAAGCATACGGAGGAAACAAATTATATACCTAAATTATCTCATGTGAATCATGTAACTTACTTTCTTAACGATGCGAGTTTGTCCGGAAGAAAAGTTGTCATCATTTGTAAAAATAATTTCGTTTAGTTACATTTATATATAAAAGTAAGGGTAACAAGTGATGTTCTTTACTCTTAACCTTCATTTCAAGTAAAATATAAGGGAAAAAGTCTTATATTTGGATTCCTTAATTATAAGGCAAAAATAACTTTAAAAAAATAAAATAAGCCAGTGTAAAAACCTTTTGTTTCTTGAAATCTATTTTTCATCTTGAAAGATATTTATTTAGTATATTTACTCATTTAGACTAAACAACAGAGAACCATTTAGACTAAACAACAGTAAAGGTAAGCGTAAGCAAAAGAAATGCATCTTATCTAAAGAAGATAAAAGAAGAACGTTAGATGTGCTAAAATCTGGCCATTAAAAAAATAAAATTGTGACTTAAAAAATAATTCTGTTGCTGTCGCTTACGTAACAGTCTTTAAACGCTGAGAAACTCATTGATTTATTTTCAATAATTGTAGAATTAGCTCAATTTAAAATGCGTAGAAGAATTATATAGATAATACTGTAGCTTTACTCAATTCTATTTTGAAACGACGTTGCTTAAACAGGATAAGAAAACATAGATACTCATTTCACTGACAAAAGAAAAAATAATTTGCTTCAGTTACTGGTATTGCATAAAGGATGTGATACCCATAGACAGAAGGAGGAATGTATAACGGAAAACAGAACGTGGACGTTATTAGTGAAAAGATGTTGTCGAAAGTATTATTTAACGTGAAAACCCTATTCCAATGCAAGATGTAAGCATATTAAGTGCAAGTGAGAAGGAGAAGAAAGAAATCCCGACACATGGTCATAATTTTGAGTTGTGAGAAAATCTAAAACAAATAAAAAAAATCCGGTACATTTTGTAAACAAACTAATGTAAAAATATTCAATTTCTTTCTTATCGGAAACGAGAAGAATATAAAAGCACAAAATGATTTTATTTAAAGTTGAAATTTTTTTAAAAAAATTTAATTTAAAAATTTTTTAAATAGATGAATTTCAAGAGACAGACATTAATTTGAAATTTCGACAATAAATATTTTGATGCTTTGTATTTTTGCGAATTATGTAAATCATTGAAACATAAAACATTATGCAAATATGTTCCAAAAATTACCTGTCATAGGAAGTATGCTACGAACTGTATTGCCTTGCATAGGCGTATGACCCGATCTGTACCTTTCGTATAAATCCATCGCATATCTTGGAGGAAGAGATGGAATTTTCCTCGGAATGTTCCTCTCGACACTGGATTTTACACCAAGCAATCTCCGTACAGAATCTTCGATATGGTCCTCCCTACGACCATTTGAACTGCCCTGAGCACCACACAAAAACATAATGATTGTGAGGTATAATCCAATAGTCCATCGGATTTTGGCCATAGTGATGGAAGCTATGGAATGAATGTTTTAGTATGTACTGATGCGCTGAAACCTCCAACGGAGATGATCATTCTTCTGTGTACGGTGATCAGTTTGCCGTATGTTGCAGAACTATACACAGCAGCCATTTAGATTTAATGCCCAAATTTCCAATTACTTAAAAAAACGGATGATGTGGTGTGTTTTTAAAAATTTTCTACAAAATAGCCTATAATATATTTTGAACGATGAATTCGATAGTAGGAAATCCATTTCAAAGGAACATCTTGCATATTAAAATACTATTCATATGTTCAGATGCTATGCAGTTGTCAAATTTATCTCACATTAAACAGTTTTGCTGAATTCTGTCACTGAATAATTACTTTAACTTAAATCGGAAACGAGTAAGGTTCAGATTTTGAAATGAAGTACCAGTTATTTTAATAGAAACTTTTACTATCACAAATCAAATTAAGTAAACAAGAAATAATTTGATAGCTAACCAAACTCTTTGTAACTGACTTTAAGAAGTGTAGTCATGTCTTTTTGATGAATTTAGAATAAACCAGTCAATGTAAACATACATATATTTTTTCTCTCTTTCAATTTGTCTTTCAAAGATAAAACTGCTGGTTAAACCGACAAATTAGTCCATAGATTTGCCTGTTCAGTAGGGAACTAATTATTAGGCATACTCCATTCATAGCTTTTGCAGATTCCATTCATACTATTTACTCTAAAAATTTAAGATGTCGTCTCTAGATTTCAAACAATACTTAGGTCTCAAATTGCTTCCAAGATCAAGGAAAACAATCGCTCGATTTTCAGAGAGATGATTGCACTCCTCTCGACGTGCGCAAAATTCTTTTCTTTCTCACTTTCGAAAAATGAAAGGTGGTAGAAAATTTGCCGCTGTAACTGAGAGACTGGATATCAGATACTAGTTCGCAGATGCTGATGCTAGCCATCAAAAGAACAAGTTTGGATCTCGTTTCGTAAAAGCATCGCCGGCTTGGCGCCGTATCTAATGTAAAACTTTCGCCAAATCAAGGCGAGACATTTTTTATCACGAAATAAAAGTGAAATAGATCAATTGCGACTAATGGCTTCTCAATATAATTAAAATTTTGAAGCAATGGATCGAAGGTCACTTTAATTTGGAAGGTCATATTGCGAAACCCTATGACCTCTCTCTGTCCTATTTAGATTAAGTAGCTGAACGGAAGGATAAAAACTAAAATAAAAGGAAGAAAAATGGTAGTCCGTCTCGTTGTATCTGTGTGGTCCGAAAGACGATACGATTCCGATGCATTATCTTTAAAATAAGGTGTTGAAACAAATATGACAAGTTGAATACGTACATCAAGTACAGGAGGATAGCAACTATCTTAATATTAGAAAGTCAGATTCTCTCTTTTTAAAGCTGCGATTCTATGAAAAAGATGTTTCGTAAGCTAGGAAACAAACTATAAATCTATTGTTAGCAGATATCGATTTGCCACACAGCATGTCACACAAGCATGCTATATTATGCCTCGAATAATATAGCATGCTTGTGTGGGTGTGTTTGAATATAATTATGGATATATTGCATAATTTGTAAGATTGTAAAGACATTAGATATATTTTTGTAAGTAGGAAAGAGGAAAAATAGCACCGCCTTCGCCGGGAATCGAACCACGGACCTCTGGAATACCGGCCCAGCGTGCAGAACCACTACACCACGAAGGCACACTAAGAAAATGGGAAAAATACCTTATATACTACCCTTTTTAAAAAGCGACTTTGGTTTTTAGGGGAACCAGTCGCCAAATCCTGGGTGTGGAGAATCCTCATCCAACACCCTTTTAGTTCGGGCGCCACTGTAGAGACATTAGGTATATTTTTGTGAGCAGGAAAGATGAAAAATAGCAACCGCCTTCGCCGGCAATCGAACCACGGACCTCTGGAATACCGGCCCAGCGTGCAGAATTACTATACCACGAAGGCACGCTAGGAAAGTGGGAGAAATACCTTATAAGGTAAATAAACGAAAGAATAATATTAAATACAAAAATAATAACAAAAGTCTTTTTAAATATTAAGTTTTTCAGTGTATAATTCAGTTTTAAAACAGTGACATAAAATTTTAATTAAAAAAAAATTTTTTTTTCATGCTTTATTTGGGTTTTAAATTGAAAGTGGTATGTTGTTTACATCTGGTTTATTCATATATGGCTTTTTTTTTTTTTGTTGTTTCGATTGTTTGTTTTGATTGTTTCGATTTTCTTGAAACTAAATTTTCATTTTAACTTATAATAAATTTTACTAGCATCTGTATAATTTGATTATTTGATTACTTTGCTCGAGATGAAGAATAATTATTGCTCAACATGTACATGCATAAAAGTAATTATGAGTAAATTAAAAAGCTCATAATTTGCGCTAAAGCTGCAAAGTAATAAAGCAACCTCTACATATAATAAAAGAAAGAGTCTCTCTCTGTGTGTGTGTCTTTCGTTCGCGCTGCGCGTAAGCTAATAGACCCACGGCTACGAAATTTGGTACATAGGTGCATCTAGACAAGAGCCAGTGCACCTTGAAGCGAGTTTTTTGAAATTCGAAGTCGACAAAGTAGATTTAATTCAATCCAGTAAGTTTAAATGAAATGCAAGGAAAAATGCGTTTAATTTAATATTTAATAAGTCATGTGGTGTACACATCAGAGTTTTTATATTAATGGAAGCACCGGAAAAGGAAGTTTTACATTTGAAATTTAAAAAATGACTGTAATGTTCTTAATTTTTCTCGCTAGATGGATTTTCCAATGGAATTATTTTATTGAATAATAATGATATTAAAATGGAACATTATAAGAATTAAACTTCTGAAAATTACTGAAGTTTTTTATTTAGACTAAAATGTAGTAGCTGATACTGATTTAGCTGAATTGCAAGTGATTTTGTAAGACATATCTAAAATCTGATTAATAGCTATATTTCAGATATGAGATTTCACGTTTCACGAATTCAGTTTCACGTTTTGTGTTTCATCAAATTGTTGGCAGTTTGAAAATATGAATATCGCTTTCGCTGTTAGATAGAATTAAAAAATGAAACAAAGGAAATTTGAAAGCTTTCAGATTTTATATTACGCTCAAAGGGGCGATTTTTTAACATTTTGTGTGTTACTTAAGCGGTTTTTTAACGTTTTCTGTGATATCTTTATTTATGAAATATCATGCTTTTCGCACTTACACCAAATAAAATCCAATTCAACAGCAATATCACGAAATATTTAAAAGAGCATATCTTTAGAATTTCCGCACACTATCTCGCGTGCTGGAGATAGAAATGTTTCATTTTTTGTACAGTGTTGCGACTGACCGCTTTGAAATCGTTGCGTTTGCTAATAAAAAAATCTTTAATGTTTGGCAAATTATGAAATAGATGATAAAACAAATTCCAAATTTGGACCTCCAGATTCCCATATTCGAATGGAGGACTACGTTATTCAAAATTTGATGTCTCTAGGCACCGTTGTTTTTTCACAATGCGAAGAAAGTACATACATTCATGCAGATTCTTCATTACTTAATTTCTTTAAATATAATGCAATGCTTTCATATTTGCTGACAACAATTTGAAAAGTGAACCAACATTTATAGTGAACCGCTGCAAAATGCTAAAACGAAATTAATAGCAATTTATATATGGGCAAATTGCCCCTTTGGGCTAATAATTTAAATTTTATTAATCAATTAGATCTGGCTTCATTCTGTGGTGTTGCTGTGGGAAGATGTGACTATGGAAATGAAACAGCCAAATAAGATGAAATGTTATGAAATGCTAAGTTGCTATGGAAACAACGCATGAAGTTTGAGTGTTAAAAATAATTATTAGAACCGCACCAGGCGTATCAGTTTGAGTATTAGAAGTGACTATCGTATATTAGCAGTTCATATAAAAATTACAAAAATATAAAATTAAATCTTTATTCGCAGAGTGGCGAAAAGACACGGCAGTTCAGTTTTCTCTTCGAAGTGTCATTATGTTATATTTAATAAAGTTGACTTAAAGTTGATATATAAAAGGGTGTCTTTGCCTCACTATAAAACATCGACAATTCTAATTACCTTTATAGATGGCTTTGTCATCATAACTATGATTTTATTTTACTTTCCTTCTAATTCTTCTTTTATTTTACTTTCTTCTTTTATTTTACTTCGTTTTATACGAGGCATTTGTAAAACTAGTAATATTTGTAAATAATTAAAATGGCCGTTTAAAAGAGAGATATTTTATTACCAGTTCTGTTGCCATTGAATGATTATTATATAAAAGCTACATAAAAGTATCCACAAGATTAGCCACAAGTAATTGATTTTTTGCGCCATTTTGTTTTCAGTTTAGTGATCTTTTCATGAAAGAATAAAAAGATCGACAGATCAAAATTTAAAACTTTATTAAAACGTTGACTTTCAGTTATTCTTAGATATTAGTTATTAGGCTATTTGTGACAAACAGCATTTGCATTAATTCAATCTTTTAATACGTCAATTATTTTTAATCTCTTCGGTTAATGATACGCTGTTTAATAAATTGAAATGTGAGTGGCAATGCCGCAATTGTGATCAATATCATCAATCTTCGAATTCATCTTTGCTTTTGATAGCGTATCTAATGTGAAGAATTTTCGTGAAATCTGGAATTTGTATTGGTAAGCCCTTTTTGTATACTTTTAAAAAGGATATGGATTCTAATGCTTGTATATAGTTTAATTCATGAAAGGAAAATATGAAAAGCCAAAGGTATAAAACTGCAAGTTCAGTTCGCTAAGACAAAATATTAAAAAATAAATCACAAGGCGCGTTGGGATAAAAAGTGGATAAAATCACATGCAGTAAATGCGATAGATATTTTTAATAGATTATGTCACTGAAATAAAATTTTTATGAATGCTTAATTCTGAGTTTAAGTACTGAGAAAACTACTGAATACTTTGATAAAAAATTTATACCATAATTTAAAAGAAAAATGGGATAAAAATTTAGCAAATAGTACTCTTTGGTATATTTCTGCTTTAGAGTGTCCATTTTAATGCCAAATAAAGGAACGGGTTCATAAGTAAACTATCCTGTTTTGAGCGAAATTTGAATGTTGCTGAATGAAAAATTATTTCGCTCTTCCTAAGAATTACGAAATCCGTAAATTTAGAAAACACATTGACATAGTGATTTCGCTACTAAGAATTTAAGGATATTGAAAATATTTAAGAATTTTATGGAGGTGTAAATACTTTCATGAAGTTGAAAAACAACTTTAAAAGGGATAGAACATAGACGACCAATCACAAAAATAATAAAGATATATAAAAACCAAAATTAAGTTTTCTGTTTTATAAAATTTAGTTGGCATGAATTGAAATGTGCTCTGCATGCATTTCAGTAGCTTTTTAAGATTACTTTTCATTAAAGAGTATTTAAAATACTTTCTGAATATATAATGAAACACCATTATGCAATATTTTAAACGATATCCTCAATTTTCACTTCGAGAAAATAAGTTATTCCAAATTATTATGATTTAATTTATAGAATACACAGTACTAAGTTTATAAAAGCAGTTTTGTTATTACATTCAGGTACGAAGTAAAGGAAGTATCGTAATCACGAAAAATTTCAGTTATCAGATTTCAACGGAAATACCCATTTTAACCGTTCCAGAAAAATGTGTGCACAGATGTCACGTAAAAAAATAGTTAAAATAGATTATTTTTTTTTTGCGTGGCGTCTATACGCATGGATAGAATACAGGACTCTATTCCAAAACGGAGTGTAAAATGGATTCAAACTGGATTTTTTCGTGATGTCTGTACATACGGAACATGTTCATAAACAAGTATTTGAACATGTACATTTACTTTCATAGCGCAGAAATATTATAAAGCCTTAACACATTTAAATAAAACAATTAATGAAAAAATGTCGAGCATTTAAATATATGTAGTGTATTACACATATAGACTGAAACATAAATAATTGATTAATTGATTATGATAAAGCAAGTGAAGACCATTTCTTAAATGGAAAGATACTTCCATGGAGGGTT